ACTGAATCAGTGTTTGGTTAAGTGAGAAACCATGCTGTTTCCTTTCTGTTTGCCCCACTCTTTGTATGGCTGAGAAGCAAGAACCAGCCCAAACTCACATGAACTGCTTCCCCTGACTTCCCTGGCCTTCAAGAGCAGCAAGAAAAGGCAGCAGAAAAAGAGGCAATATCAGGGGAATTAAAAAGTTCTCTGCGGGAAACCATGAACTTTATAGGACAACTTTAGCATGAAAAGAGCATGGGAAGATACTAACAGATATCCCTGAATAAAAGTGATGAGAAGCTTTGTTTGATATTTCACCAAGTGGCATTGTGTTTGTGGTTTGTGTTTTCCCAACTAGGTACCCTTTTGAAATCTTATATCCAATACTTTCTTTGCCATGTCCCAAAAGTTACTGATTATAAAGAGAAAAAAAATGGTCTTATATGTCTGTTTCTTCTTGGGTCAAAATAGTAGGCTGCATTTTTATCGGGTATATTTTGAAATGACAGAAATGGGCCTACAGAACGTTGTAGTAAAAGATTTATCTGGAATGGATATACTGAAAGATTGGTAATTTTCACTTCCATGACTTAAAATTGTTCCAAGTGTGGCTGGACAATCCGCATGAAGTACCGCATATTCAGGCAATAACAAATAGTATCAGGTTCAGCCACAAGATGTCTCTCCTACCCTTGAATCGGAAGTTTTTATCTTTTCAGTTTTGCTTCTTTCTTATAAGTAAAAACCCCAATCTTCAATAAGCATAGAAGATCTTTTAGTCCACAAAGTTTAAAAAAATAGAATTCCAATTAGGATCAAGTTCTTTCAACATTTTAAACTCCCCTGGATAGTAAGTCGCCGCTGTTTCTAGAGGGAGGGGTAAAATGTCCCCTCTCCACAGGGGGGGGAAGTACTTAAGGCAGCTTATGCAGGTAAAGAAAATAGTTAGGATTTAAGAGAGGTAGATCTCACCCAGTCTCATCCACGCTGCCTTAAAATTGCCTGATGGTAAGTGTGACTTCGGCTGTCTGCAGCCTAATGACTAGCCATATTGCTATGGCCGGTCTTTCGTCCGCCGGTTTGGAGGGCTGCCCTGTATCAAGTGGAAGAGCTACCGCCTTCCCGCGATCCAACGGAGATCCCCTTCTTGCTGGTCACCCCTACAGGGTGACTTTCGACCCTTTCCAGGGTCCCCCAGCGAAGCAAAACTGAACGCAGAAGACAGCTTGCCTTCCAGACGTCCATATTGGCTGCCTCGGCAAACCGGAAGTCCCAGTACCGCATATTCAAAGAACACACTTCTGTTTGAATTACTCCAAGGAGTTAGACTTGGCATTACTTTTGGACCATGAAGAAAAAAGATGGAAAATTCAGTTAGTGATCTGCACTATCTTAGAAACATGCAAGAATTTTGCATTACTGGCCAGGGTGTTATTGTTAGCTAGTGTCAAAATATGATCATAGGTTTGAGTGTTGGAAGTGATCTAATGATTGTTGTATCATTAAAGCAACAATTTACTGTTAAGGATGGAGCACATTTATCAAGTGCCCCAATCCTAAATCAATAGTATTTTTTTGTTTTGGGGTGGGAAAAGATTAAACCCACCTTTAAAAGGAGATTGACAGACTCATGGAAACTACAGCTATCTGCAAGGAGCACATGCTGCCTCCAGGTTTAGAAGCTGCATCTATAGTAAAAGAATACACTAGATGAGCGGCTTCTTTAGGTCAGTGCCTGTCGGTTTCCTAGGGACATCTGGCTGGTTGGCTGCTATGGAAAATGGTTGCTTAGCTGGATAGGCTGTGGTTCAATTTCCTTTTCTCTTCTGAATTGAAAAAAAACCCTACCGTGCTGCTATTTTTCTTGATAAAACCAAATGAATCCTCTTTCTTTAACAAATTATTCTCAGAAATTGCTTCCTCATGGAAACTTGGTGGCTTGAACGATGGAGCAGGGATCACATGCCGCTTGGAGAGGGAAAACAAAATTCCAGATTAATTATAAACACAAGAAAGCTGTTGCAGCCAAGTGTTCATATTCTACTCTAAAGACTATAATTGCACATTTTCTCTGAAAGTATGCTCAATGCAGGAGCTGGGTTATCCAAAATAATACATCCTTTTTTAAAGCACCTAAATTTATTCAAAGAATATATATCCCTTATATTTGAAAATGCAGTGTAAGCATGCCTTGCACATTAAAACCATAAGTGAAGCAGTTGTTGCTCCAGGGCACAGATAGTTCTACTTTAGATCATCTATCTCTGAGCACATGTTTTCAGGTGGAAAAACAATATTGGGAACTACAGGAGACAAATGTTATTCTTCCTTGTGAAAAATTGAAAAAAAAAAGGCTTGTCGGATTGTAAAGGAAATCCTTGGAAATACTTTCAGCCATATGGTTGGATGTGTTCAGTAACCATGGTTATAAACAATTAACTATGCATGTTCTAGGTATCTGCTTTTTTGTTGGTTTTTAAAGCCTGGTAAAATGATAGAATCCCACATAGGTTTTAAAACTTAGTGGACAATTTTATGACACCATTCTTAAAATCCTAATTGGTCCTGTGTGAGGCAGTATAAGCCAAGTGATGTCACCATTCTTTTTTCTATCAATTGGAATCATCTTGTTCTCCATCCAATTATATTATATTCCAGAGCAGAGCTTTTGCAGCAAACTTACTTAGACTAGTTCTTCAAGCTTGCGCAAGCTCCTGCACATGTTGCTTGTAGAAAAGATTTCCCCATGGATTAGAATGGGACAGAATTTTCCCAGAAGGTTGGGAGTTGTGTTTTTCCCCTCAGAAAGAGGAAATGCATCAGAAAATAAAGAGAGATGCATAACATTGATAAGGAGCACCAGGCTAAAGACGGAGTGTGGGTTCTGTCTTAGACATGGAGCCAGTTGGCTGACTTTGAGCCACTCTCGGCACTAGGCAGGGGCAAATCTGTTGTGAAAAACATTGCTAAGAAAATGTACAGATGCCTGAAGTTGAGGGTGCTTTATGAATTAAAACAAAATATATCTTGGCTCTTGCCAGTGGACTAGTGTGACTGCTTTCTAGCTACAAATAGCAATTTTAGGGCTTCTTCCATCTTATTTATTTGTATCCTGCCTTTATTATTTATACAAATAAGTCAAAGCAGTGAACATATGCAACATACCTTCCTCCTATTTTCCTCACAACAACAACCCTGTGAGGTGAATTGGTCTGAGAGAAAGGGACTGGCCCCAGATCACCCAGCTTATGGTTATCTTTAAAACAGGTCAGACAGAATTTCAGTTATTTGTAAAATTGACACATATAGAGGTTAGTCATATTTATCTTCCTTGTTGGGTGTCTACCTGAGAAGGGGAGAGGCCAGGCACTGCATCAACTGAGCAGGGAGCACTTAGTTCTATAACCAAAATATCAAAATATTTGCAGGGAAAAGATCCCAAAATAATAGGTGCTTATGCAGATTGTCACACAAAAGAGGAGAAGGATAAGCACTGTAGCATGTCTTAAACCATGGGGTCCTTTTAGCACTATTTCAAATGTCTTAAGCCTTGATGATTCCTGAGCTGGCTTGTTCAGCATGTTTACATAAGCAATTTTTGTTAGTTGGGTCATCAGAGAACCCACAGGATGAAATTAAAGTGGCACTCCTTGAAAACCTGAGTCACGAATGTCTTAATTATGTTAATATGCTGTAAATGATAGGCATGAAATGGGAAAGTCTCAATACTTTAACATCTAGTTGATTTCATCACTGAAAATGTACACAAATATTTAACTCTTTCACTTTAAAACCAAGAGAATTTAATTACAGTTTTTACGCATTGGGCCTGACAGATTGGACAACTGGAAAATTGTGGCAAATTATTTTAAAAAACATTCCACTGAATCTACGTTGCACAATACTTTTTTAATTATCAAAGAATATACATATAGCTCTTCATAATAAATCTCCTTTTGGTAGAGTTAGATTACTGCTAACATTTCCAAATTGGTATGAAGTGAACCCCCAAAGTCTTTCTTTAAATGGTTCAGAACAGTTTGTTCTGAAATGGTTACCTTTTGTTCAGTAAATGTATTGCAACACATTGTATGAAGCAATAGAGTGATATAATTGTGTATATTTTGCTGTCTGGTATAGCTTTTATCAGAAGATGAGATGGAAACTAACCAAAGAGAGAAGCAACCTAGAACTAAGGAGAAACTTCCTGACAGTGAGAACAATTAACCAGTGGAAGAACCTGCATCCAGAAGCAGTGAATGCTCCAACACTGGAAGTTTTTAAGAAGAGACTGGACAGCCATTTGCCTGAAATGGTATAGGGTTTCCTGCCTGAGCAGGGGATTGGACTAGATAACCTCCAAGGTCCCTTCCAACAACATCATCATCGTTGTTGTTGTTGTTGTTGTTATCATCATCATCATCTTCTTCAATGATGTCTCTGATTGGCTTTGCAGTTGTTTTGGAT